GTCAAAAGTCAAGCAAAAATTGGACTGATATTGGGCACTATTTCAAGCACAATTTTTTGAGACGTAAATTGTACCTATAGCTCGTTCGATATTCGCGCACTGAGGTGAGTATGCTGGGCGTAGAACCTACGCCCAGCATACTCACTGAACGAAGCCTATAACTCCGAAGTTATTCGAGCACTGTTTTTTCTTTTTGGGCACCGTTTGGCACTATTTGGGAACTATTTTTTGAAGTATGAATTATGTTTGAAGCGTATACAGATTCTCCGGACGGAGGTGAGTATGCTGGGCGAAACCTTCGTCCAGCATACTCATCGAACTATGGCTATAACTTCGCAAGTACAAGAGCACTATTTTTTTCCTTTGGGCACTATTTAGCACTATTTCAGAACAGTTTTTTGACATTCATGAAATATCAGGATTCCATGGTGAGTATGCTGGACGAAGGGACACGGAGCTCAGCTCAAGACTGACAAAAATATCGATACCGGCAAAAATCAGCATCTATTGACGAAACACAACGCAAGCATTGTGTTTCGTCAATAGGCAATAGGTTCTAATCGGAAATTGTTTCTGATATATGGCAATTAGATTCACATGGGATGTAATATTTATTTAAAAATGCTCCTCTAAAGTTTGTTAGAGTTGAATTCCAATTCTATATATAAGTGCAACAGAAAAGTACTGCCTCGTTGGCCGAGTGGTCGCAAGTGCGACTGCCGGGCAAGGGGTCGCGGGTTCGATTCCCGGGTCGGGGAAAGTATTACTGGGTTTTTAAAAAAAATCTCAGTAGTAGCACGGAGTCTGGAAATGTGCATAAATGGGCACATTTCCAGACTCCAGACATGGCAATAGGCTCACCCCCTATTACATGGGACTCATAACATAATTAGCAAAAAGTGTGTGTTACTTCTGTGTGCACCTCTGCCTACCCCTTCGGGGATAAAAGGTGTGATGTTATGTATGTGTCAGAAAAGTACTCTTACATCTTTTACCCCAAAATTAGCAGGATTAATAAAAACAATGTTATATAATTATAGGTATTACAATTTTAATTCTCTTCAGCCATTGTTGTACCTCATTACTATACAGAAAGTTTCATAGTAAAATAATGATTATTACTAAATTATTTGATTATTTTTCTTCTCTCTACATAATATCTAAAGATTAGTGTCATTTAACAACTGTACAAAGAAATTAAATAGTATAGGGCAAAATTACATAAGAAAACTCAAATAAGCAATCAATGTAATTCATAGGTCTAAGGTACTAAGCATCAATGCATCTCCATTTCAGCTCTTTTCCGTTTTCTATGGTTAGCAACCATGTTTGCAGTAGTGAGTATGCTATCTCCTCTCTGCAGCCATTCTGAGAGGGCTTTCTCAGTAGTCGCAGCTGCAGCGGCTTGGAGTCGTTCACTGACCGACAGAGGCTGAATAGCCCCCACTGAATCTGTTGACACACTGGCCGCTAATAACATTCTGAATCTCTGTCTGAAGGTCTGCAATAGATATATAAGGCTCGTTTATAACAAAAATGTGTAATATATAAGTCAATAATAACAAATGTAAGGACTCATACTTACATTGATAAGAGTATTGGAAACTTCACCCTTGATGTCATGCTTTGCTATGTAACATCCAAATTCATAGAAATATTGACTTAATTTGTGCATATCTACAGTACAAGCATCAGCGTTTAGAATTTCTCTATACGAATCTTTATAAATTTTAGGCAAGTCCACCGAAACCAATGGCGGCCTTCTTGAGTGTAAAGATTCAGCTAACCACAGTGGTATTTCTACATTTGTACCAGCTTTCAAATCGTCTTCTGAAGCCGATGGATCCAAGAAACCTGGAGTAAGTAAATTATTAGTTAGTTTTATCCTAACGAAAAGATATACAACTACAAAGGTACACAATATCCTAACCCATTTTTGGTAAATCATGAAGGAATTTGCATGGAATTTTCTCATTGGTAACTAAGATATCCGATATTGAAAGGTAGCCACTATTCTCCATTTTACAGTAGTAAACTAAATTGATAAATAAAAAGTTTTATTTCTACAAAACCAAATTCAATTCGGGCGCTTAATTTGACATTATTGACAGTACCTGACACTGTCAATAATGTCAAATTACGGTACAGACTACATAAAGTTCTGCCATAGAGCATACAGGTTAGCAATCTATGACATACACAGACACAACACTGTAAGGCTGGCTATGCATCAGGATATTAACGAAATAAACCACTGATATGATAAGAGTATGGATAAGAAACAACTAGGAAAAAATCGTGCCTACATAAACTTCACTTGGTCACCTGTAATGGCGGATAGAACTAGGGATGTAACTTTTAAAACTAGAAATATCGATATTTTAGAATTGGTTTTAATTGACTTATCAATAAAATATCATTATTTTATGCTTCATCTGGATTTAATTTTTATCTAGCTGCTAAACATTACCGACATATTAGCGAAATATATTTAGTAGTTGCTGCGTGCACTGTCACTCCAGTCGATCGTGCCTATAGAGGTACATTCACATCATAACTTTCACGATACTTATGTATCGAAATTCATGAAAAGGATTTTCCATCAACTGGTCAATATTTATATACTTAAGGTTAAGTAATTTTTGAGGGTTAAAAAATAAAACTGTATCAAAGTATTCATAAAATCAAGATTTATAATATACAATATCTTCGTATTTTTCGTAGTGTTTCCCTGTAATGTAATCTGCAAAACCATCTTTCGAGAAGACTCCAGAACTGGTTCCAAGTTCATTTTCATGCACATATCTGGCTAGAGGCTGCAACATAAATAGTATAATTTAACTTACTTGATCCAATTGAACATAGATTTTTCTATAGATTATATAGATACTGTACCTACTTAATGTTTTTTGTATTTTGTCATTATGTCAAATTAATGCACTTTATCATTCAGAATTTAGTATAGTTCTTTGTTCTACTTTTGACGCATTTATTATGTACGATAAAATTATCGATACGGGAACAATCATGTACATCACTATTTTTTAATGAAAATTGTTTTAGACGTATTTCAACTAAAATTAATGAAAATAAGCACTGCATTAGTTAGAAAAGTATTGTATTTAGTCAATTTGCAGCAACCACACTTGAATAGTTTGAAAAACAGAGATATTTTAATGAAAAATAACAGTACTTACCGATGTAATGTTACACCTGCCGGTTTAGTAATATTTTTAGTGCTACATCCAATAACACTGCACCCGGGCATAGTTCTTCTCACTAACCAATAATTTCTTTGTTTACCACGCACAAAAACAACAGGAATTCTACAAATTTTCGTAACAAAATATTGTTGACCAATGCTTTGACAGCTGATGTACCACTGACATGCACTGATAACAGGGACTAAGATGGCCAATTCGGCACAACTAGGTTTTTCTGATGACGTCAAAAAATTATGGCCAGAATGACAATAATGTGTTGTCTCTTTCTGCATAAGCAAAGAGACATAAGTAAAAAAGAAACAACAGTATGTTTATGAATTTACCGTCAAGATGGATCCTAAATTCTACCCGTAGACAATAGCCAGACATCTATGTTATATTTATAAATCTATGGTT